TTTTCATCCACCACGAAGATTCTCCTTTTTTAGGATCTAAAGTAAGAATCGTTACGAAGTACCATTTTTTTTATACTAAACTAGAAAAGGATTGAGATTTTTTATCTGCAGAAAGAACGTTCTCGAAAGTTTTACCAAATTCCCTTCACAGAAGACGAATGTCTTCTTCATAGCTGGGTGATTCCGTGGGAATCCTACCACGAATTACAAAAGTATCTTCAAATTGTTTCAAAATTTCAGAATTTGTAGAACTTTTTGAACTGATCATTTTGGTTATAAAATGTTTAAGATTTGAAGCTGTTATAGTGAAAAACGACTTGAAATACTGTATAAGGCTTTTTATGCGGAATTGCCTAATTTAGGAAAAACTCATGATATAATCTGAGGAATTTTTAGTTCTATATGACTGAATAACCGATGTATCATGGTCTAGTACCGCATAAAATCTTGTAGTCCGTGTAAAACTGCATCGAATTATAAGTAAATGAAAAATTTTTACTGGACAAAATATGTAACTCCTAAGGTCACTAGCTTGATGCGTGACATTCACTAATGTTATCAAAACTCGTCGCAAAAAATGGAATTCTACAGCGTGATGCTATATAGGATTTGATAGAGCGGAAATTGCTCTATCAAACCCCATATTTCGTTTTTTATGAGAGTGAGATTCACTTATTCAAAAATAACCGAAAAGAAAAATTACCATTTTTTCTGTGGCATCTTGAATGAGATCGCGATCGTGTTATATCAATATAATGTCCAATATCGATGGAATTTTTAGCATTTATAGATCTTTAAATTCTGGGCACTTTGATAAGAAAGATTGCATAAAACGTCCTTATTTTGATAGAGATATGCTTAAAATACTGTCACTAATAAGAATCGAAAATTTTTCAAAATTTCGATAGTTTTGCTCAATTTTGACATTTTGTTTTCAACGGTTTAGTTCACAAAACTAATATCAAAAATAGAATGTAAGGCCATAATTGGATTCCTCGTGAGACGGCGCATCTTTCCATACTAAATTCAACTAAAACTTAGATAACAAAAACTGATTCTTCTGCGTGTTCTTCAGTACTCGACAACTTCTAAAACACTGAAAAAACATTGACATAATTTTTATCAAGGCTTCAGTTGAATTTAGAACGAAACGATGCGCCGTCTCACGAGGAATCCAATTATGGCCTTACATTCTATTTTTGATATTGGTTTTGTGAACTAAACCGTTGAAAACAAAATGTCAAAATTGAGCAAAACTATCGAAATTTTGAAAAATTTTCGATTTTTATTAGTGACAGTATTTTAAGCATATCTCTATCAAAATAAGGACATTTTATGCAATCTTTCTTATCAAAGTGCTCAGAATTTAAGCCTCTATAAATGCTAAAAATTCCATCGATATTGGACATTATATTGATATAACACGATCGCGATCTCATTCAAGATACCACAGAAAAAATGGTAATTTTTCTTTTCGGTTATTTTTGAATAAGTGAATCTCACTCTCATAAAAAAACGAAATATGGGGTTTGATAGAGCAATTTCCGCTCTATCAAATCCTATATAGCATCACGCTGTAGAATTCCATTTTTTTGCGACGAGTTTTGATAACATTAGTGAATGTCACGCATCAAGCTAGTGACCTTAGGAGTTACATATTTTGTCCAGTAAAAATTTTTCATTTACTTATAATTCGATGCAGTTGTACACGGGCTACAAGATTTTATGCGGTACTATACCATGATACATCGGTTATTCAGTCATATAGAATTAAAAATTCCTCAGATTATATCATGAGTTTTTCCTAAATTAGGCAATTCCTTATAAAAAGCCTTATACAGTGTTTCAAGTCGTTTTTCACTATAACAGCTTCAAATCTTAAACATTTTATAACCAAAGTGATCAGTTCAAAAAGTTCTACAAATTCTGAAATTTTGAAACAATTTGAAGATACTTTTGTAATTCGTGGTAGGATTCCCACGAAATCACCCAGCTCTTTCTCCCGCGTGAGAGGGGAAGATCTCTTTGATAACGATGATCGCTTTTCTTTTTCGTTCATTGCAGTAATTGCCAATATTCCAGAGGAGGCGCCATGGGTACTGATTAGGATCGACATTTGTATACTAAGAACAGATCGGCAACTATACTATGTCCTGCTCCAACTCCACATAACTCGAGTCCTGTTCTCTAAAACTCCACATCAATTTCGACTACAGTGTGTTCCGCTCCAACCACATACCATTCCATTCCTTTTTTTCTAAAATCCTACTCCAACTCCAATTTAACTTCAATTCCAGCCGGATTTTACAAAACTGAACTTCTGCCAAAACACTCTTAAATACACATAAGTTTTTGAATATAATTAAATCTACGATTCATAGAAATTAGTAGCACATTAATTTATTGCTTTATAAACTTTCTCATAAAATTCAAAGATTGACATCTCCATTCTGCTTCATTCCTACTCCATATAACTCCACTCTTACTCTGATGAGAAAAAGCATCAACTTCGGAGTTGGAATTGCTCATCTCTGATATTAACCATTCCAAAATACGTACTCTTCAGATCCTCGTGAACATATCAGCGACATGCGAGCTCAAAGAATGCTTCTCAGAACAAGCACTGCATAAGGGTTATAGCATGATCTCGATAAAAGATACTCATTATTTTTAGATTTTCAGATCTTGGCAGAATATCTTATTTAGTCACTAAGATTCTCTTCTAGGATCCCAATACAATGGTTCGAAGATGGTTTTCATCAAAAGTTAATAATAGCATTTTAGAACACTTTCTGCCTATCCCATTATCACAGCCCTTTCCAGAGCCCATAAAATCCATAGATCTCAATGTTTTTCACTGGAGAGCTCCGGTAAAATTGGCATCCATCTTTTCAGCATTTCAAAAGTAGAAGCTCTCAGATTACATAGATCCGCGTGGAACCCTCTTAACTTTGCTCAGTTTTGCATGCATCCAAACCTTCTGATGATCTTGCTAATATCCTATCAGAGTCGTCCTTCGAACAGCTTCACATAACTTGCCGAAAGCCTTAAAAATTCCACCGACATACTCTATCCGAATGTTTAGGAGACTCTTCGACAGATCTACATTCATTATGCAGAAAAATCATGTATCCTTAAGGTTTTCTAATAAAATATAGGGATTAGGTTTGACAGTTGTTGTTCAACGATTCGACATTCTTCTCACAAGGTGCAAATAGAATCTTCTCTGATGTTCATATAAATGGTCATTCTGCAAAAAAAAATTCTGAACTCTTGCAATGTCGAACAAAATCCTCAGATTCCTATATTTTTCTCTCAAAAACTTGCATGGAATTAGCATTGCTATTTCTTCGAGGATCTCCTGACAGCAATCTCCAGGTGTAGTTGTTCGGGTAAAAAAAGTCTTGGCAAAAACTAAAAGTGATATAGATGTAAGAATTGTTACGAAATCCTTTTTTGTCATGGGAAACTAGAAAAAGACTTCTGAATTTTTATCTCCAGAAAGAACATTCTCGAAAGTTTTACCAAACTCCATTCGAAGAAGACGAATGACTTCTTCATAGCTCTTCCTCCCGCGAGAGAGAGGATTATCTCTTCGATAACGATGATTCATTTTCTTTTTCGTTCATTGTAGTGATTCCCAATATTCCAGTGGATGCTCGATGGGCACAGAATGGAGTGACCGTTGCTGGAGGTCAACATGGCGATGCCACCAATCAACTCTATTTGCCTTACGGTCTCTTCGTCAACGATGATCAAACGATGATCATCGCTGACTACAACAATCATCGTATCATCCAATGGAAGATGGGTGATACGAATGGACAAGTAGTAGCTGGTGGTCATGGCCAAGGGAACCGATTGGATCAATTGAATGAACCAAAAGATGTGTTGATCGACAAAGAGACAGATAGTCTCATTATTTGTGATCGAGGGAATGAACGAGTCGTGCAATGGTCTCGTCGTAGTGGCACAACTCAAGGAGAAACCCTCATCGACAACATCTTTTGTTTTGGATTGGCCATGGATGATCAGAGATATCTCTACATCTCTGACACCGACAAACATGAAGTAAGACGATATCAAATAGGAGACAAAGATGGAACTATCGTGGCTGGTGACAATGACTTTGGTGATGGTCTCAATCAACTCAACATTCCGACCTATATCTTTGTCGATCGACAACAGACTGTCTACGTGTCAGACAACTTCAATTATCGTGTGATGAAATGGAATAAAGGTGCAAACGAAGGAATTGTCGCCGCTGGAGGTCAAGACAACGGGAATTCTCTGACACAATTGTCGAATCCTAAAGGAGTATTCGTCGATACGTTGGGTACCATCTATGTGGCAGACTCGGGAAATAATAGAGTGATGCGTTGGCCTAAAGGAGCGAAAGAGGGCACTGTTATCGTGGGTGGAAATGGTTACGGAGAAGAAGCAAATCAGTTCAACGATCCCATGGGTTTGTCCTTCGATCGATATGGCAATCTCTATGTCGTCGATCAGTGGAATAATCGTCTTCAACGCTTTTCAATCGAATAGAGTGATTACGATGGATTTTTTTTCTTTCGCTTCTCTCAAATAAATCACGTTGAATTGATAAAATGAATGACTATTCTATTCACACGCGCGACCAGGAACCATCCTGGTGAAGCCGTGACGAGCGTAACGCTCACTCACGAATGGGACAGACAAATATCATTCACATCCCTCCCACTCGAGCAATATGTCAATGAGTCTGGGGAGCTCGATCGTGTGCCACGGACACCAAGATAGTTCCTGGCCGGTGTTTTAGGCCTAAGTCCGAAAGGCCTGATAGATAACAGAGGTCTAATCTCAATGGACATAACTCACCCATCCCCCTACTAATACTCACTTTTCTGAGTCTCACCCTAATCCTTCTCAATCTCAATGTCACTATCTATTCTCATCTCCTCCCTCCCTATTCTCTTCTCAAAAAAAAAAAGAAATAATTACTCACTGTGTTTGGTGTTGGACTATGACGTTGTGGATGGTGACGATGCAATGATATTGAGGCCTAAAAAGAAAAGAAAAAAAATTTAATTAATGTTATATAATGAAAACGAATTAGTTAACTTACCCCTTGTTATCTTTTCTAGTTGAAAACAATCCTCGAACCTAAAACGAGGGTGTGGGTGTGGGTGTGGGTAGGTGTGGGTGTGGGTGGGTGTGGGTGTGGGTGTGGGTGTGGG